GATAAAAGTAATGGTTATAATATTAATTGTGAAAACAAAAACAAAGTCTTACAATCACTTTTATACATTTAAGCAAGCAATGTGCACATTTTACATGATGTCTTTGCAAAGATTCTAAAATGTAGACGTGAAGAGGTGAGTTTTGATGTCCCTCTTGAACTTGGCCAGGGTATTTGACTTTCGAATAGCAGATGGTAAGCTATTCCACAACGTAGCCAAAACCCTCCCAAAGCATCTGTTTCCGTAGGTCACAGTTCGAGATTTTGGGACACACAATAAAGATTCTTGACTCCGACTGCAGTGATCGTGATGGCTGATACAGGGTAACAAGCTCCTGTAGGTACTGAGGAGCTGTTCCATTCAGTGCCTTGTATGTGTACACCAGAATTTTGTACTGCGACCTGTATCGTACAGGTAACCAGTGCAACGAATAAAGCACAGGTGTGATGTGCTCTCTCTTTTGAGTAACTAGCCGTGCTGCAATGTTCTGGACCCTCTGCAGACGACTAGTTAGTTTGTCAGATATACCACAGAGCAGAGCGTTACCATAATCCAACCGAGAGGTAACAAGTGAATGCACCAAAATCTTGCATGCATCTGCAGTTAAAAATTGCCGAATACAGTCGATGTTCCTGATCTGGGAGTAACAGGATTTGGCAATAGCGTTCACTTGTTTCTCCATGTTCAGTGAACTATCAAAGTATACCCCTAGGTTTTTAACAGTTGGAACAGTCTCAATAGTTCTGGCACCGACCTTGAGCTGGAGAGCCATTGTTTGCTGACACTTTGGGGGAAAAGACGATTAGTTCCGTTTTTTCCTGATTAAACTGAAGCATGTTGGCGTTCATCCAGATACTGATATCTGTCAGACAAGCTTCCAGACCTTCTGAGATAGTATTCCAACTGTCCTGTGGTTTGATGACAATGTAAATGTGTGTGTCACCGCCATAACAATGATAGCGAAGGCAAATCTCTCCAATAGGTTTGGAGTACATACAATATTTTCGTGGTCCCAGCACCGAACCTTGAGGAACCCCAAAATATAGTACTTTGTCATGTGAGGTGGAAGATACGATGGCAACACACTGTCGTCGTTCACTCAAGTAAGACTGTATCCAGCATAGTGCGGTATCAGTCACTCCATAAGAGTATTCCAGACATTTATAAAGTATGCCATGGTCGATGACGTCAAATGCAGCTGACAAGTCCAGCATGACAAGCACCGCTCTGCACTTTTTATCCAATGCAGAAGCTTTATCATTAAGTACATGTAGGAGGGCCGTCTCAGTAGATTGTCCCATGCGGTAGGCCGATTGCATGTTGTCATGGAGACTGTTTGCATGGAGATGAACCTCTAAACGCCGGGGCACAACCTTCTCCAAGATCTTAGACAGAAAAGGCAGATTTGAAACTGGGCGGTAGTTTTTCAACTCCTCCTTGTCCATTCCAGGCTTCTTTAACAATGGTCTGACATGTGCCTTCTTGAAACATAATGGAACCTTTGACTCAGCCAATGATTGGTTCATGATTGAGGTAATCAAAGGAAGCAGTGCTTCAAGACATTGCTTTAAGGTAATAGGATTGTGTCGCCATTTCTCAGTAAAATTTCTTCAAATTTTGTTGTTATATTACTTTGAAGTAAAGAAAAAATTCTGCCACAAAAAAAATAAAGGTTGTCATCATTTTAAGGAATTTAAATGGAAATTTATGTAAAAAGGAGTGACTTTTGAAAAAACATTAAAAAAATGTCAAATAAATTATCTATAAATGATTAAAAATTGACATTTTATAATAAAACCATATGCACATTGTAATTGCAGGTAAGAGTTATCTTTCTTGAAAAACTTCACTGTAGTGAAATAGGTAGCCGGTTTCCTGAAGTACAGAAAAATGGATACATGTGGCTCATTGATAAAAAAAACACCTGAATTAATGCCTGCATTGCTTTGAAATACTTTAATATTGAGAGAAAACACTGTTCTGTCAATAATAAACATACAATATTCATCAGTTTAATATTAAACATTAGAATATGCGGAAATTGTGATACTGTCTCCTACATTGGATTTTGAACTAAGGATGTACTTCCTACTTCCGTTTATCAATACACTATGACCTTAATAGGTCTGTAGGCAGTGGATCAAGCCCACAGGACTTTGATTGCGAGGTCATTTGATTAATGTAAAACGGTCATTAAATACCAAAGTTATCAGCTAGGATCAAAATTTGTGGACAGACGGACAGACAGACAGACAGAGTGATTACTATAGGGCACCTGTATCTCCGATAGGGGGCCCTAATGACACGTCTGTCTTTTTTCTAAGAAACTATATAAGTGATTGTTTCATTATGTATTGAAAGATATACTTCCATTGTACACACACACATAGTCCCTTAGTGCCTGATGTCATTTTATACAGTATTTCTACATAAACTAAAGACCATGAGTTTTTATCAACCTACATCAAAGACTCTCATCATCTTTTCTCGTCTAATGAACTCCCGGATCTCCTTAAACAGCTCCACTTTGACATCCTGTTGGCCTGAAGTTGACAAGGCGTCCACACTATTCCGTCATGGTATTGGCGATTGACCGGCTGTCCAGTATCGTAAAACAAATAAACTGATAAAAAAATGCAGGCTAACATGTTCAGTAAGTTTAGACACAGATTTTTATTGCAACAAGTACAAAATCAAAAATATCTGCAAACCATAAAAAAAAAAAAAAAATCACGTTAGAAACATAACCTATGAGGCAAATTGTCAAGTACATTGTGCCTATAAATGGCTGCCCTCCAGGAAAATGACACTGTAATTTTATACAAGAAAACAATGCTCTTAAAATAACTGTTTCATTATATATTTGTAAAAGTAAGAAATGGTCGCACTACAGTATGATATCTCATTGTCAGGTTACATGATAACTTAATAACCATAACAGGATACTTATTTGACCAGTTTTAACAATGGAAATCAGTCTCTGATGATACCTCGCCACAGGTAGAAGTTTGATGACAGCATTCTCTGGATCGAATGTCATAGTCTTCAATAAAGAAAGCATCCTGCAGGTACTGTCCTTTGTAGCGCAGTTTAAACTGGAGGTCCTCTTGGCCTATGTCATACAGTATGTGGAGTAGATGTGCTCGGATCCTGGCAACCTTGTCTGATGGCTTGACCAACGCCAGAAACGTCTTGTACTGAAAAATGTACAAATTCTACTGATACAACAGTAAAACAATACCTATACAAAGAAGTCCAGGATACTTAAATAAGATATTGATTTTGTGATAATCAATAATGTTACAGATCTAGCTCTGGACAGACGCTCGAACACACTGAGCTACAGTACCTCAGGTTGCTGCATGGTGAGTGTAGATTGACGAAGTAGAGTTTGACATTCCAAAGACACACGTACATGAGACTCTATACAGACTAGCCTTCCAGGGGAATATTTTGTTGCACGTACCCCAAATGTAATATGAAAAGAGAAAATGGATGGCCATACTGGATTTGAACCTGGGACCCACCAAGACAGATGCTCTAACCAATTGAGCTACTTGGTTGCTGGTAGTTATACTACATGTGTATATATATATGTTTACCTGTTTACCTCTTTGTCGACACCGTTGTTAGCTCGAAGTAGCTAATATAGGCGCATCTTGGTTCGGTAACATACTGTTTACTGGTTGTGTAGCATAAATACTGGGATAAAACTTGGACGGTATATTTTTCCAAAAAGTGTTTAAACAAGATTTAAAACAGTTTAGAGATGGGGCTTCTACTACTGTCAGTTGGGAGGGAGTTCCAAGAATCACTTTACTCTTCTAATAAAAACATTTTGAGTGACCCTCATGGTCCTGCTCTGTTTTTTGTTGTTTCTCCTTGTTGTTGTTTGTGTAAAGGTGAATAATTTATCTTTATCAAGTATATCAATGTTATTGATTATTTTATATACCTCTACTAGATCATTGCGTTTTCTTCTATAATTCCAGTGTGGGTATTAGGCCTTAATTTTTAAGTCTTCATATTCTTAAATTATATGAAAGGTTTTTTAGAGATTGAATTATTTTGGTAGCTCTGCGCTGCACATTTTCTAAGGCTATTTGGTCCTTTTTCAGAAAAGGGGAACAGACCTCAGGGCAGCATATTCCAAGTTCTGGGCCTATTATTAATGAGACGTACTCTTGTAAAGTGTAAGAAACATAGTAAGTAAATGTCTTAAAGATTAGTCCTAGTGTGCGATTGCTTTGTTAACAGAATGACTCACACGGTGGTTAAATTTTAGTTTGTTGTCAATTGTTACACCCAGGTCTCTCTCTTAAGTAACTGTTCACCTGAGGCACAGGGGCACGTTACAAATGTCTGAAATACACACATATGCTATACTGATATGGGTCACAACACACATAAACATACACAAGGGAAGAAGCTTCGTCAGAGCACTACCGGTACCGCCAAATTTCAAATGAAGATTTTCAACACTTACTTTTGTTATTTTTTCCAGCGATCTGCGGCGATAGCTTCGGTTTGAATTGTAATAAAGTAATCCATCATGATCAATTGTGTAATCATTCGTCTAATACATCCAATCAAGCACTTTTTCGGGGAATTTGCAGTTTTACCGCCATGATTAACTTGAACCTGACCCGGAAATGACGACGACATGTCTTTATAGCATACTGCCAAATACTACGGAAAGTCCCAAGGCCCCCCGAGTAGAGTCTAGTCCAGCAGCAAATACTTTTTGGCGCAATGTATAAAACATCATGTCTCGCATCGTTTCCTGGTACTTATTTTGCATTTTACGTTTAAAAGTTACCGTATCAAAAATATTGGACTATGTAAATGTGTGTTGTGACCCATATCAGTATAGCATATGTGTGTATTTCAGACATTTGTAACGTGCCCCTGTGCCTGAGGGGAAGTAATATGTAGAATCTTTGTTGATATATATATAACGTTACACACATTTACACATTTAAAACAAAGAAAAGGCTGTTTCAAATATATTTTTTCTGTTGTGAGTGTGACTGCACAGAAGGCCCAGTGTGGATCCTGGGCATTGTACTTGCTCAGGAAGCAAAAGACTTTCAGGAGATGGATCTTTCCTTTTGTTTAAATAATTCCCTTGAAAAATGACGTCACTTCCAGGATCCTTCAAGGGTGGTAGGTAAATCTTGTACCCGTTACCGGACCCGGACTGAAACCCCGTACTAGGAATATAAAGATATTTTAATATCTCATTAACGCGATCGCTTATATTTTTTGTAAACATATCGAATAATTTCAAACATTATTTTCTAAATGTGATAGTTACAAAAATGTTTATGTATCATCTAATAATTTAGAAATCGACGATAATGTGTATTTCATGTGTAACATGATCGAAACTAAAATGCTGACTATTTGCCAATTTGCGTTATTTCTTTCTTAAACAATGTCAAGTCACATGTAGTTTTTAAGATACGTTATGTAATTTAGTGGACGGATGAAAGAAGGGCATATTATTCTTGATACATTGTTTTAAATCTCCGAAACTGTGCATTGTTTATCGTGGAAAATTTCTGCGCCACACGTTCCGTTTCAACCGTACCCCTACTCAACACATTAGTCTGGGTCCCTGCTGCGATTGCTCGGACGAGTCTGCGGAAGACCCATACTCAACACTTGTGGTCAGAAGATTTGATAGGTACATTTAATTTATACCAAAGGTATGGTTTTCATTTTCTTCTTCTTCTTTTATTCTGTCACTTTTCATTAATGGTTGTGAGAAATAATGCCAAAAATGGAAGTTACATAATTTTGTTTACATGTTTTAGTGATTGACATATTGGACTAACAATAGAGGTCAAATGGTTAAAAGTTGTGTACGATTACATGGGCAACGCACGGAACTGATTCATTGATGGGAGTGTTTTGATAACGGTTAGCCCTGATTGGGACTGTGTATTAGGAGGTCTTCTTTTTATTCCAGGGACAGGGCTTTCGTTGCCACTATGTCTAGCCTTTCGGCTGTGCTGGTGGCTATTACAACAAATCACATTTCGTAAAGCACGTNAATCAAAACAGTGAGCAGTCACCAACTACTTTCGCAATAATGATTTACGTTCCAGTGAAAAATAATGCTGATATTTACTCTTTTTGACACAAAAATAACACAAGTTAAATTATATTATTTGCAATTAAAATGGGTTGGGTCGTTATAAAAATTATTCAGCTTTCTATTGCTGCTAATTTAAAAAAGATCAGTCAAATATTTTTGGAGTGAGGTGGTTCACATACATGTGGGGTTTTTTTATCCCGCATTTTTGTTTATCGACGCCCACCACAATACTCTGAACCACGCGTTACATCGCGTTTAAAAATAGAAAAATATACCCCAAAAACGAGACATCAATTACTATGATACCACAGATTTTATCAATTATAAGTAATACAATCAGCTTATAACAATGGGATAAACAAAAGACGTAAGAACACTTGTCGCGATTGGTTTGTTTTCACGCCAACTTGTGTATCTAAAGAAGCGGTATCGACGCCATCTTGCTTTGTCAAAATTGAGATAGGTGGCGCTCGCTATCTGCTCCTGAATCAGGGGGAGGTAAGTCTAGATTGACGTGTCATAAAATTGGTAAGGCAAAGAGGGAGTTGCTAATCCCCTTCACTATACGTCCCTGATTAAAGTCAGAACTCCGGCCCTCTATAATATGCGGGAAATATGCGACCCGCGCCCGGAGCGCACTTCAAACTTTAGAAACAAATCGTCACTTTCACACACATGTCGCACATGAATGATGATAGTTGGCCAGAAGCATGCTGGGATGAAGGGCTGCCAAGTTTGTTCAAATGAATTACCTTGAATCATATTCAAGGTCACTGAGGTCAAATATGTTGTAATCATTTAAACAACTCCTGAATAACCAAGAGGTCTAGGGTGATGACATTTGGCCATTTACATGCTTGGATGAAGAGTTGCCAAGTTTGTTCAAATGAATAACCTTCACCCATATTCAAGGTCACCGTGGTCAATATTTGTTTAAATCTTAAAATGATTTGTTCTGTATAACCAAAAGGTCCAGGGTAATGATATTTTCCCAGAAGCATGCTGGGTTGGAAGACTATAAATTCTGTTCAACCTAATATCCTTGTTCAACATTCAACGTCATGGGTGTCATATGTTTAAATATTTTAATAGGTTCTTATAAATCAAACACCAATATTCTGCCTGTAGTTGTATTTTAGTCCACTTTTAAGATAACAAGTGTGAAATTAATACCAGGTGAGCGATTCAGGCCCATTGGGCCTCTTGTATATATATATGAAAATATAACAATCATAAAATAATACCAACTTATATGTATACAACTTCTGGCAAGTGCTGTATTGGTATCAGTGTTCAACATCCTGATACAAAAATCAGAGACAAATGACAACTAGTCCCGTTAACCCTGACTGACATAAAAAAGGTATATCAGAGTGTCCGACAATACAATTTATATTCTATCAGTCCCAAATTGTGCTCCTACTGCAAAACCAGTTATTTACAAACAAATTACAAAGCAGTAGAACGATACACATAGCAGGCACACATAGTTACGATAAGCAGATATTAGACAGATATACCCAATTTATACATACACAAAGAAATGGCAGGTTTCACATAATACAAGCAATAACTAATACAAACAGTTGTCACCAATATAACTATCCCTACGTCAGAGTGTCCGACATTAGGGGTAGATAACAAGGACCTGAGCCAGTGTCACAATATACTACAGTGATTACATCTCATCAAATTACACTACACACTCGCTACGCTATGTAACAATGTCGATAAAGTATGAAGTTAAATGTATAGGCCTCCTTTGTACAACAAAGGGTTTAAATATCGTTCAGTATGCTGTTATATTTGCCCGCGAGTCATAAGACCCCCGCATACGAAAACACAATGAAGACTGATTCAAATCATCAAAATGGCGGCCAATTTGAATTCGGTTTCCTGGCCATCCTCTTCCGCCAAATTCTGACACCAAATGTTGTGATTAGCCTTAAATTTATACGCTTACTCACCACAGCTCTGTGATATCCTCCAAGCATACAGGCAGTCTGACGACTGTGAGTGATGACAATTCCTTACTGGGACGGCTCCGCTAAGCAGGTACGTCTGTACAGTCTAGGATCCTCGTCAACACTGATCCTCACTCGAAACACCTCAGTTATCTTCGCCTGTCTCTGCTAGTAGTTGGAACCAATCCCGGGCATTCTGGAACCGTGTCGCAGCACCACATTATCCATGCAGGAATTAGAACATGCCCCAGCTAGACTCTAGCACCTTTATCATGTTGAAGAAGTATTGTCAGCATATTTGTACATGTATATACCATTTCTACCACAATACGCTGTGTTATTCCACTCTCAGATCATTGTATAGACATGCAGACTGTTTAATGAATATGAGTTATACACCACACGCGGTATATGACCTTCCATAGTTTTGATTGATCGAGAAGATGAACCTTGACCAGACAACTTTTTTGCCGCATGCTGTTTTTTTTACGTTGACTGCTTGCAACATCCAGCAAATTTTGGTGACTTTTGTGAGGTTATGCGATGGGAAAAGGGGGTTATTAGGGCAATAACAAAAGAAAATGATGCTTAAAGATTTGATCGCTAAGTTTCAGACAAAATTGCTACAGACGCTTGATAAACCCAAACAAGATCTGTAACAGTGTCGGAAAATATTTTGTTCTCCACACGTCCCGTTATCAATACAGTTAAACCTCGTTATCTTGAACTCGTATAACTCGAAGACCCCGTTTAACTCGAAGTATTTCATCGGTCCCGTCCAAAACTCTTCTTAATCTTAGTAATAAAAACTCTGATAATTCGAACTCTGAAAACTCGAAAAACTCAGATATCCCGAAGTGAAACATAGGTCCCAACAACGAAAATCCTACATAAAAATATCTCCTACCTCGAAGTTTCTTAAGATTCACAAGTCTATCAGTATCATATATACTTTTTAATTATTTGATACATATAAGACGCAGTGCTACGGTAAACATCGTTCTAAATGAGCAGCTTACGCTCGGTAATAATTACTTCTATTTAACTTTATGGCATTAAAATGTGATTGACTGTAAAAACACTTTGTTCAAATAAAGAAACAAACTTTATCAATGTTGATTAACAACAATCAATACTCACTGCGAGCCCATAAACAATTTGAATGGCACTTTATTTACACTAAAGCTGCCGACACATTCTAACTGGAAAATGGGTCACAGTGTGCGGTCATGCGTAAATAAGCTCCACGGTAAAAATCACAACCTAGGACTGGTTCGCCGGTTTATGTTTTTACAGGAGCTTGTATGGCATTGATAACTAATTGAGAGATTATAGGAACAATACGATAATTATTGTTGACTACGTCGTGTTGAGGAGATGTCAAGTGTCATTGGAGTCTATCAATGTGGATATGTTTCCTGATTAACTCATACCCATTTTTGGAATGTCGAAATCAACTGAGCAATCCAATGTGTACGCTCCAGTACAGTGATTTGTGTAAAGACTTGCGAACTTTCATTTCCGCATTGATATTTCTATCAGCATAGCACGAGGTCGGAGACATCATGTGTGTTTATTATCATATTAATTTATTAATTAATATGATTATGAATAAGTTGTTATTTTATAGAATTATCTTTTTGTCATTTATCCGACTGTTTAAATGCGTTGATTGTCAGAGAAATCAATGACATATATAGCCTCATATTGTTACCAAGCTTTATGCCAAACATAGGAACTCGCTTAACTCGAATACTCGGATAACTCGAAGTTTCCCAACGATCCCGTCGACTTCGAGATAACGAGGTTCGACTGTATTTGGAGAGACTGTCTCCTGCGGAATTCTCACAAAAACGTCAATCATAGAACCTCACGAAGAAACGTCCCAGGCCTAAGGTTTTGGACATTGACAGCGATTAGTTTGTCGTCATCACTTGGCGGGAGGCAAACTTCGTACGATATGCTTACGCGCATATAGTCCGTGGTTACTTTATATTAATTAATGCAATACTGCTACTCCCAGTATTTAAAGTCGTTCATCTATTATAATTTTTCAAGAAGTTGTTACGGAAACATTAATTGTGAAAATTGTTAAATTTGTATAAAAAAAAAAGTCATTTTTGAATATTAATGAGTGACTTTTTACATTATATGGGTCATATCACTACGCCAGCCTTGTCAACAAACACATGTGTGTATGTTATTCAAATCAGGAAATACTCCAGCTGTTTCCGACTGAGATTGTGGTAGAAACAGATTACACGACTCGTTGTTTAACCTATAGGTATCCTAATTTTTGGTTTAATCTAATCAGTGTTGTGTGTTTGAGTGCAGATTATTGTGATGTGGAGTAATTATAGCAGAGACTTTAACTTTATAGAAGTATGAAAACACTGTGATGTCCTAGCTATGGGGAGCTGGAGGGAATATCAGAATGTACCTATTTTTATTCGTAGGCATGCACATGAGTATCTATGTATACACACACTATAAAAGCCAGCACTCAAAATTGATCTGATCAAATATTTTCTGTCTATATGTAAGAATTACATAGAAGAAAATTATGTTTAAGGTATGTGATTTGTTATGAATTGGTGCTGAGTTGATTAGGAAAGCCTTTGAATTTGCATGACAGACCAGAAATGTACCGGATGATATTAATAAGATACAAATATATATATGACAATCTTGTTCAATATTTCAAATATTTGAGAGCTTATGAAATTTAAATTATTTTATTACTATCCCCTTCTCAACAAGTTGGTAGGGGATATATGGGCAAGAATTCAGTATTTCAGAATATAGTGTCACATTGAGGAATGCAAATAAAAAAATTGTCCCAGGCATTGCTGAAGTTATGTGTTTGCTAAATGAAGAGAAATTATTGAAATAAAATCAACGCCAGCCTTGTCGGAAACACATTTAATGAATTTGGTGCATTTACATGTAACATGAACAACATATCCAAACCTAAATTATGCTTTCTCAATCAGTAATTAATGAAAATCTTATGTTTGCCTATAGAACCAAGTTACCCAATACCTTGTCTAAAGTTTTATTTAGACATTTTCATTTTTCACTTTTTCTGTATTTTTTCTTGTTGCTTTGCATTATTTTTCGTGTCAATGTAACATACAACTTGATACACTCCACTGCTTACATTAAATAGAATGCAGTTTTCAAGGAAGGAGAAATTTTATGATACATTATGCACGAGTTACATTTTCCATTTAAACGGTGGGATTGGCCCCCCCTGGGGGCTGTGGGGCAAGGACAAATAGGGGAAATATAGCAAATTCTTTAAAATCCTTCTTATGCTGTAGGAATGAAAGGATTTGGTCCATATTTGATCTGAAGCATCCTTGGTTGAAGGGGAACCAATTTTGTATAAACTGGGGTCTGGCCCCCCAGGGGCCTGTGGGGCAAGGCCCAATAGGGAAAACATAGCAAATTATTCTTTAAAATCCCTCTTCTTCTCTAGGAATGAAAGGATTTGGTCCATATTTGGTTTGGAGCATCCTTGGGTAAACCCTTAAAATCCTTCTTCTACCATAGGGATGAAGGGATTTCTTCCCAATTGGTCTGGAGGATCTTGGGCAAAAAGGACTCAATTTTGTATACACAGTGAGTGTGGCCCCCCTGGGGGCAGAAGGGCGGGGCCCAATAGGGGAAACATAGCAAATTCCTAAAATATCTTCTTCTTATGTACGAATGACAGGATATTGTCCAAATTTGGTATGAAGCATCCTTGGGTGAAGGGGAACCAATTTTGTATAAACGGTGTGTCTAATCCCCGATGAGGCATCGAGGCGGGTCCAATAGGGGAAGTAGAGGTAAAACCTTTCAAATCCTGCTTCGACCATTGGGATTAAGGGATTTTATCCTTATTTAGTCTGGAGCATTCTTGGGCCAAGGGGACTCAATTTTGTATAAACGGTGGGTATATATGACCCCCCTAGGGGTATAGGGGTGGGGCTCTGTTTGAATTTTGTTCTCGCTATATCTCAATTACTGGATGGATCTTTCTGAAATTTCATATGTACTTACAGCACCTACCATGGAGTGCTATATCTTTACTTCGTACCAATTATTTTAAACATGTTCAGGTGAGCGATACAGGTCCTTTGGGCCTCTTGTTATAAATGTTTTGCTATGGAATATGGATTCCAATTCATGGTGCTTTTCACATATTCAGATGAGGAATAAGTGTACCAGAGTATCTGACTTAAATGTCCATAATTTAACTCTCTTTAGTCTTTTATTCAGGAATTGAATGCATATTTCTTCAGTGTTTATGAAAGATGTCTTTTAAGTCAGATAACTACATATCTCTTTCATGTCATTAGTGTTTATAAAATTACACAGTTATGCAGGCAATAGTACCATAACCCATTCCACATTGAAACAATATTACACTAATCATTTGAACAAGCTTTTCAATATATTTGTACGCCCAAATATCCTCCATTTATAGGATCGTGGTGTTTAATGACTGAATAATTTGGTGACTTGGATCCAAAAACATGGATGCGAATTACATAGAAATATAGATGTTTTTTTTTTGTTTACAGAAAATCAATAGAAAGTCTAATAACAAGAGTTTTACGATGGTTCGTGACATGCTTTGCATTGACACTGCATGCATGGTCGTCAAATGATATACACATTTTGAGTTTTAAAATGGGAAGGGAAATAACTTTTACATACTAGTACATTTGTTGTTATTAACACACCTTATTGAATTGTTCACTGTTTGGTTATTTGTTTTAGATGGCCCGGGGTGTATCGGTGTTCAAAGTTTTTATAACAGCATTATTCATCATTTCACAGGTAAGGTGGCGGTGCATGATGTTCTTTCTTTTCTTTTGGTGTGTCGATCACCTCAGTGTAATATAATCTTTAATACATCGCCTAATAGAACTGTTCTCTTTACACTGGTGTTGTTAAATCATTTCTTGATAAACAGAACCCCTTATCTAGTTTCCGGATATACAGCTGTATATGTATATATAACTAACTGGAAACGATTCATCACCACTGCTTGAAATGTTGTAAAATGGTTATGTAACACTCTATTATATATTTTTTTGTTATTAAAGCTCTTCTGCATAGAACAGATTTTCACAATTAATTATTAGTTATTTTCTCTAAACGAGTATTTGAAAAAGATACAATCAGATGAGTTTGCTATTTGTTTCAATATAGCGATACATTAAGAGGACCAAACCAGTTACTTCGGTTTTGATCTCATTCCTTACATATATATGTGAAAATGTCTTTATAAAAAGGAAACATGATTACTTTTGTTTTGTTTTACTCTTTTTCTATGCAGACCACAGAACTACGCCCTTACATCACAAAAGAGAATTCGAACCTGTCATGTTTTGAATGTCCACCAGGGTTTTACCTCTCTGGAGATTGCACCACAAATAACACCATCGCAGCCTGTAGGGTGTGTCCACAGGGTTATTACTCCAGTGTCCCCGGTGTTCATACCAGTTGTGCAATATGTTCATCATTCTGTGAGTCAAATAATCTTATTGTGGTGTCTAGCTGCTCGTCAACAAACAATTTGACATGTGACTGTCCGTCAGGAAAGGTACTGAAGGATCCACACGACAAACACCATGCTATATGTGAGGATCCACCAACACATAAACCTCCAAAAACCACACAGAATTGTAAGTTACTCACTAACGTGTTCTTTAATGTTTACTATTCCGCACAACGCACCAAAAATATCGTGCGCACATCGTTCACCCCGTTGTGCGCTTTTCTCCGCACAAATGTGTGATTCGGCAGAATTGGTTGATCAATATTACGGAATGAAAAAAAACTGAAGCCCTCGTATGGAATAAGGTACACTGTATGTTTAATTTTACAATGCCTGTTACACAGCATTACAGTGACCTTTAGACTATCAAGAATGCTTTCAGGTAACATAACAGGTAAATAACATTGTTAGCTCACCTGCCTGAAGGGCAAGTGAGCTTATGACATGGTGCGTCGTCCGGCGTCCGGCCGGCATTCGTCTGTACAGCGTCAACTTTTTACCTTAAACAACTTCTTTTCAGTAACCAAAAGGCCTACGGTGAGATATTTGGCCAGTAGCATGTGGAATCAAGGGCTACCAAGTTTTTGCAAACAAATGACCTTCATCCATTTTCAAGGTTACAAGGGTCTAATATGTTAAAAACTTTAAACGACTTCTTCTGAGTAATCAAACAGCTTTGGATGATGATATTTGGCCAGGAGCATGCTGGGATAAAGGGCTACCAAGTTTGTTCAAACAAAAAACCTTCACCAATTTTCAAGGTCACAGGGGTCAAATATGTTTAAAACCCTTTAACAACTTCTTCTGAATACCCAAGAGGCATAGGATAATGATATTTGACCAGTATCATGCTTAGATGAAAGGTTACCAAATGCGCAAGTTTATTCAAATGAATGACCTTCATCTGTTTCAAGGTCACAGGGGTCAACAATATTAAAAACCTTTAAACAACTTCTTCTCAATAACCAAAAGGCCTAGAATGATGCTATTTGGTCAGTAGCATGCTGTGATGAAGAACTTCCAAGTTTGTTCAAATGAATGACCTTTACTTATATTCAAGGTTACAGGGGTCAAAAATGTTTAAAACCTTTAAACAACTTCTTCTGAATAACCAAGAGGCCTAGGTTAATGATATTTGATCAGTAACATGCTGGGATAAAGGGCTATCAAGTTTGTTCAAACGAATGACCTTGACTTATATTCAAGGTCACAGGGGTCAAATGTTTTAAACCTTTAAGAAACTACTTCTGAATAACCAAGAGGCCTAGGATAATGATATTTGGTCAGAAATTTGCTGATATGAAGGGCTACCAAGTTTGATCAAATGAATGACCTTCGCTCATATTCAAGGTCACAGTGGTCATTAAATCTTTAATTTTATATCAAAAACAATACTTACCACGTCCAATTATTATGCAAATGATCTCCAACTACCAGTTCTTTAACTCCCAAAGGAAAGTTTAAAATGCCCAGCGCAAATATGAAACTACTCCCTGTCCAAACCGGACATATGGGTGTAGGATGCGTGCGCACCTCCAACTTCCTCTTTTCTTCAACTCGAAGAAGCACATGGCTGTTATTTTTACCCTGGACTTCAATCAAGTTTTCCGAGGCGGTAACCTGTGTCATTGTTTGTTTTCATACTTCGTTTATTAAACCAGTTTCCCTGCTATTGTTTATCTATCTTTTTTGCCTTTTTTCACTGTATTTCGTTGTAATTATCGGTACCATTGCCACATGCTTTGGTCCCTGTTCGTTTTCATGAGTGTTTCACTTTCGTTTCCGTGTACGGTGATTTTTAGGTCACCTGAGCTTTGCTCAAGTGACCTATTCCAATCACTTTCCGTCCGTCGTCGTCCATTGTCCGTCGTCCGTCGTGCGTAAACTTTTACATTATCAACTTCTTCTCAAGAACAAGTGGATGGAATTTTTTCAAACTTGGTCACAATCATCCTTGGTAGATGAGGCTACCAAATTGTACCAAATGGGATTCCTACCCCAACCCTAGGAGCCAGGGCGGGGCCCAAAAGGGAAAATTAACCAATATTTCAAAAATCTTCTTCTCCAGACTCAGAGGTATTACAGTCATTTTCTCTGCATGGATGGAAAGATCATCAGGGGCTTTATTAAAATTGTAAATTTCAGGACCCCCGAGCTATCCGTTCACCCTTGGGGAGGGGGTAAAGTTTACTATAGTTTATATAGGGAAACAACACTTTTGGGTATATTTTGACAATTTTCATTTGGAAATTATTTTTACTTGGTCAGAATCATCTTTGGTGGGTTACGGTATCATCAAATTGTAAACTTGAAATTCCTGCCCCATCCCCAGGGGTTAGAGAGGGGCCCGAAAGGGAACATTTACAAATATTTTAAAATTCTTATCCTTTGATGACATGACAAGTATTGTATTTCACTTAGTTTACATGCTGATTTCCACATTACATCTAAACAATAAAATAAAGCTACCAGTACCTATGATATAACTCAGGTGACCGCTAAGGCGCTTGGGCCTCTTGTTATGAATTAAAATTATTTTATTTTACAAATAAAGGCTGAATTGTTTGTTTATCTTGTTGTTTGTGAATCATGAAGGACTCCTCCAAGTCTGACAAACGGGGTAAGAGGAAGGACAAGACTAGGTCCTCCTCCGGTAGTACCGGTGACCCCATAGAGAGTCCTCCGGCAGGTACCTTGTTGGCAGAGGCCCTGCCGGGTCCCAAGACTATCCAGCCCTTGGCTGGCTCTTGTCTAGAGAGCACAGGTGTTGGCTATCATGTTGCCCCTTCCATTGGTGTAAGTTCATCTCTGGAAAGGTTGGGCCCTCCTCTAGTCTCTGACTTTTTAGTCAGTCCTGGAGCGTCTGTTGGTAGGGATAGAGTCATGAATGAGGATCCTTTTGGGTCCTCTGCTGTGATGGGGAGTGATAATTCTTTGAAATTTCTTGGCCCAACAGAGTGTAGCAGCACTGCCACCTCTCATGACTCTCCACGGTCCCTTCTCTTTCCTGGTCAAGTATCCGGTATCAACCCTGTTGGGGTCGATTCCGTGCCAGCTTGCACCATATGAAACCCATTGGCCGTGCCTATGGGTAATGGAGAAGGTGACAAGTCTGACAAGAGTAGGACGACACCCCATGGTCTCGGGTATGAGTCCTTTGGGCCTCATGCTTGGAGTACTATGCATCATAGTTTTGGTGCTTTCCAGCAGCAAACTGGTCATATGTCTGGCCCTAGGCTTTTCATTTCTGGTTTCGCTCCAGGAGGGAGTGGCGGTTCACCTTTTCCTTTTGGTCAGGGTATTCCTTCCCATGTACCCACTGATTAGTTTGGTCAGTACTGGGGTCACTCATTTCCTTCTGGTCCTAGGGCCCCATTTCCTCAGGGATTTGGGTACAACTCTGGTTAGTCCTCCGGGATTTAATCAGTGTTGGGGGCTCGCTGAATGCCAAGCTTCTACCCACCTCTGGGGCTGGGGAGAAGTTTGTGTTTAAAAGACCTATTAGGGCTTTTAGGACATCTGGCTCCAAGACCAATATCCCCCCCTCTTGTAGGTCTTCAGAGTCTCATCTTGGCCCGTCGGAGCCTAAGAGAGCTTCTACCCCGACTTTCTCAGAGAGTCTCCAGAACTCTACCTTGCCCTTAACAGTAGATACTTCAGTGTCTACTTCAAGGAAGGGTACTGAAATGGAGAAGGGGGACAGGGACGATGACGTCCTCAGCCTGTCACCTGGGAGTGTGATGACTGATTTTCAGTCAGAACCTCCTTCGTCTCGTCATGATTCGTATTCTTCGGAATCTGAAGATGATGTGTTGGTTGAGATTGAGGTAGAGCCGGAGGTTGAGGCTGAAGCCCACCGTGCTCTGGCTGGCATGCGAAGCGCCGACGTAGCCAGAATCCTCAGAATCCGGAGGCGACAACGGTGCTGAGTCAGCTTGTTCCGCCTAAGGTTTCGACTCGTTTCGACAAGTCTTTGTCTGAGGGTTTTGTTGTTTCCTCGGCTTTGGCTATCGCCCATGCTAGGATGGCAGAGAAGGCTGGTTTGTCCTCTCGTGCATCTGGTGCAGCTGGCCTGCAGTTGAGTTTGGCAGATTTGTCTGAGGTTAGGTCCTCGGACTACGCCATTTACAACACCAAACTTGAGAGTCAACCAGCTAAGCTGAAAACTCACGAGCTTTCGGCAATGGCCAGGACTGGCGACTGACCAGGTGGTGTTCTCTGCCAAGGAACACCCCAAACTGGAGAAAATCCTGCAGCTTTCTCTTCAGGTATTCTCATATTTTGATTTCCTGACGGTGACCCTTTTCCGTTTATTTGAAGTGCCCACCGGGGAGTCAGAGGTTGATGAGAGTGACAGATGGGCTGTGCAGGATAGGGTGACCTCATCCTTGCACAACTGTCTGAAGGCCTCTGCAGGTTTGCAGTGTACACTGCTGGCCAATTTGGTTCTTACCAGGCGGGCCTCTGTGCTTAATGGTAAGCCTATTGAAGAACCTTACCTTTCCAGGCTTTTGTCTCCTCCCTTCGAGGGTCCTTGGCTCTTCGGGGGTGCCCTTCCTTCTATTCAGAAAGAAGTTATGGAGTACCCAGTAGCCTTGGCACTTTTGGTTTCAAAAGTGTCAGCTGCTGGTAAGACTGGAACCCCAGTGTTCCTGACTTCTTCCCTCCTTCCACAACTTTTCCGTTTCAGTCCGGGCAAGTAGATCAGAGGTCTCATTTACCTGGTCTTTTAACGGTGGTCGTAGACAGTCCCATAGACGTTTGGGAAGGTCTTGGCCTTCCTCAACCGGACCTTCCAGTAGAAGGTGGACTGTCCGCTTACCTTCCTCAATGGAAGGAGATTACTCAGGCCATTTGGGGATTGTCAATAGTTGCGGAAGGATTGAGCATCCCGTTGATACGGGAACCTCCGCTCACAGCAGAGCCAATCTTTTCCCCACCTCCATAGGATGCAGAGAAGGCTCTAGCTGTCAGACGGGAAATTGCTACCCTAGTCGGGAAGGGTACAGTTGCAGTGCTCCCACGGTGCCGGTGCTCTCCAGGCTTCTATTCCCGAACTTTTCTGGTGAAGAAGTCAGAAGCTTGGCCCCCAATTATAGACCTAAGGGCCTTCAATCAGTTCGTGGACTCTCCCCACTTTCAGATGGAGACCCCGAGAGGCATTATTGCCTCAGTCAGGGAGGGAATGTGAGCTACTTCAATAGACTTGAAGGATGCCGACTTTTACATTCCCATCAGGAAGTCGGACAGGAAGTGTCTTCCCTTCTCATGCGAGGGCAAGATATTCCAGGTCCGGGCTATGCCTTTTTGCCTTACCACAGCCCCCATGGTTTTTACCAAACTACTGCAGGTTGTGGTAGGTTTCCTGCACCAGCAGAGTATCAACATCCATATTTACTTCGATGACTCCCTCATGCTTCATTCACTGAGGGAGTCCTTGATGCAGGATACTCGACTGGTTCTGAGTCTTTTGCTCAAGGTCGGGTTCATCCCCTCCCGAGAGAAATCAGAACTGTCTCCCTTCCAGGACTTTGTGTTCCTAGGCTACTGGTTCAACATAACCAAGGGTATAGTCTTTTCAACTCAGGAGAAATTCATCAAGGCAATGAGTCTGGTGCTTCAGTTTATCCAGAGTTCTGTGATAATTTTGAAAAACGATTTTTTTTCCAAAAGGGGTGTGATATGGGTTTTGCGGGCTGATACGGGTTTTGGGGTGTGATACGGCGGGAGCTGATACGGGTTTTGGGGTGTGATACGGCGAGGGCTGATATGGGTTAGAGCAATTGTGTCGTATCGCATATACAAAAAAAAACGTATTTATTAGTAAGTATGTAATAAATGTGTATATTTGTGCATATCTGCATGCATGTATGTAAGTATGCTTTCTCGATTTATACATGTATATATGTTCTGATGACTCCCCTTGTAATAATGCTGTGTAGTAATGAAACAGTTTAGAGATCATTTGCATTATTGCATAACCTTACATGTATTGATTTGTGTTATGTTTATGCATGAATGTGTGTATGTTTACAATATTTTCATATGTCATATATGTTTGTATGTATCCTGAGTAAATGTAAGTGTGTTCAGTATACATATGTGTGTGGCTGTGTGTTAAGACTGTGGCAATATATCGGAAAACAGGTATATCGCAATACAGACGAAATATTGCTGTATCGCAATATATTTTTTTAAGCTGATTTTTAGTCACCTGGTCCGAAGGACCATGGTGAGCTGATGCCATACCGCAGCGTCCGGCGTCCGGCCGTCAACTTTTCCTTTTAAATACTACTAGTCCTGAACGGCCAAGTAGATTTTGAGTAAATTTGGTCTGGAGCATCTTTAGGCCAAGGGGACTTTATTTTTAGCTCACTGGTCCAAAGGACCATTGTGAGCTTATGCCATACCGCAGCGTCCGTCGTCCATCCGTCCATCAACTTTTCCTTTAAAAAACTACTAGTCCTGAACGGCCGAGTAGATTTTTACTAATTTATGTCTGGAGCATGTTTAGGCCAAGGGAACTCAATTTTGTTTAAGCCGTGGGTGTGGACCCCCAGGGGCCGTAGGAATGAAAGCATTTGTTCCATATTTGGTCTGAATATAAGCATCCTTAGGTGAAGGCCTAGGGGAACCAATTTTATATCAACTGTGGGTCTAGCCCTCCAGGGGCCTGAAGGGTGGGGCCCAATAGGGGTAACATAGCAAATTATTCTTTAAAATCCTTCTTCTTCTGTAGGAATGAAAGGATTTGTTCCATATTTTGGTCTAAAGCATCCTTGGGTGAAGGGGAACCATTTTTGTATAAACCGTGGGTCTAGCCCCCCAGGGGCCTGAAGGGCAGGGCCCAATAGGGGAAACAGCAAATTATTCTTTAAAATCCTTGCTCTTCTGTAGAAATGAAAGGATTAAGTCCATATTTGGTGTGGAGCATCCTTGGGTAAAGGGGGACCAATTTTCTATAAACCGTGGGTGTGCCCCCCCCCCCTGGGGGCTGAGGGGCGGGGTCAAATAGGGGAAATATAGCAAATTATTCTTAAAAATCCTTCTTCTGTAGGAATGAAAGGATTTGTTCCATATTTGGTCTGAAGTATCCTTGGGTGAAGGGGAACCAATTTTGTATAAACTGTGGGTCTAGCCCCCAGGGGCCTGAAGGACGGGGCCCAATAGGGGAAACATAGCAAATTATTCTTTCAAATCCTTCTTTTTCTGTTGGGATGAAATGATTTGGTCTATATTTGGTGTGGAGCATCCTTTGGTAAAGGGGACTCAATTTTGTATCAAGTATCCTTCTTCTACTGTAGGCATTAAGGGATTTTATCCTTATGTAGTCTGGAGCATCCTTGGGCCAAAGGGACTCAATTTGGGTATAAACGGTGGGTGTGACCTCCCCTGGGTGCAGAGGGGAAGGGCCCAATAGGGGAAATAGAGGTAAAAGCTTAAAAATCCTTCTTCTACCATAGGGATTAAAGNCAGAGGGGCGGGCCCCAATAGGGGAAACATAGCAAATTCATCAAAATCCTTCTTCTGCTGTAGGAAGGACAGGATTTTGTCCAAATTTGGTATGAAGCACCCTTCATTGAAGGGGAACCAATATTGTATAAACGGAGGGCCTCGCCCCCCCCCCCCCCTAGGGGCAGAGAGCAGGCCCAATGAGGGATATAGATGAATAGCTTTAATATCCTTTTTCTTCCATAAATGGGATGAAGGTATTATGACCAAATTTGAACAGTAGCATCCAATTTGGAAGGTAAATCGATTTTGTATAAATGGTGGGTCTGAATAACTTCAGGGTTATAACAAGCAAGGGTGAGATAGAGAACAAACAGAAATGCTTGTAAGCATCATACCCAGTCAAATGCAATGCATGGCACCAGAATTCTTTTAATTTTGTATAAACGTTTATATTTCAGGATAAAGTAGTACATTTTATATCTTAAAGAAAATTTGAAGATGTCGGAATCGTTAATTTAACTAACAACACTTTGGTTGGAATCGTATTCAAGGTCACAAGCATCAAATATGTTAAAATCTTCAAAGAACTAAAGATCTTCCAATGCTTGGTGCCAAGATCACTCTAGGATCATATGTAAATGTTTCCTATGTTTGTCAATTCACTGACATACATAGCAAATATATGCTTTGCTTGTATATCTTCAGATGATTACAGCATAGTCAAAGAGGATACCAATGCTCTGAAGGAAGATGCCAAAACATTGAAGGAGAATGTCAGGGCCATGAATGTTGATGTCGGTACCATGAAGGAGGATGTTGGTAGACTAAAGGAGGATGTTGGTGCCGTGAAGGAGGGTGTTGGTAGACTAAAGGAGGATGTTGGTGCCGTGAAGGAGGGTGTTAGCTCAATGAAGGACACTCTGAACGCCCTGTCAAAAGATATTAGTTACATTGAAGGTATGAAAGTTAGTCCGATCATATCAGCATTTAAAACCCGGACACACTGGTAACATAATTTAGTTTTTGTGATTTATTGATTGATTGATATCAAAGAAAAAAAGAAAAACTTTAATTTATGTTAAATGATTGTTCACCCGTTCGGGATTTCGAAAATAGTGAAGTTACGACACTGACAAACTTGCTAGCTCACTTGTCTTAGGGGCAAATGAGTTTATGCCGTGGTGCACCATCCATTGTCCATCTGTCTATTATTCACCGAAAAGCCTACTAGTGCAGAATGGCTTAATGAAATTTAACCTTATTTGGTGTGTAGCATTGCCAGGATCAGGGGAATCAATATTGTTTAAAAAAAAGTTGTCACCGAGGGGGATGACAAGAATATCCCCTGCATACAGGTAAATTGTATAATGACAATGGAAATGCCATTGTCTTAACCTAGTTTTAATTTTTCGATCCCCTTGGTTTTTGTTTATTTTTGGGGCGAGTGAAACACGTTTTTAATGTTTAAACCGTTAAGGTTAGGCCAAAAGTGGAAGGGTTGACACCTTGGCATGGTACTTCCACTACGCAAAAAGTTGCAAAGAAATCTATCGAGAAAAATGCGCAAATACAAAGCTGGACAAAGTTTTGTCAATTTTCTTAGGCAAATTGGCATAAATCCCTTAAAAAGGTCCGAAACAAAAAATTGATCAGGGGCACAACAACATGATTCTACATCTATACAAAAAAGTTTTTAAGAAATCTATTGAAAAATGAGCAAGTGCATAGCAAGACAAAGTTTTGTTATTTTTTTAGCTCACCTGGTCAGAAGGACAATGGTGAGCTTATGCCATACCGCAGCGTCCGTCGTCCGACTTGCGTCCGTCGTCCGTCAACTTTACACTACTTGTCATGAACCACTAAGCGGATTTCAACAAAATTTGGTGTGAAGCATCCTTGGGGGGAGAATATCCAATTTTTCATATATGGTGGGTCTGGCCCCCCAGAGGCCTGAGGGACAGGGCCCAATAGGGGAAATATAGCAATTTCATCTTTAAAATCTTTCTTTTTCTGTAGGAATGAAAGGATTTGTTCCATATTTGGTGTGGGGCATCCTTGGGTAAAGGGAAACCAATTTTGTATAAAAGATGGGTATGGCCCCCCGCGGGGCTGAGGGACAGGGCCCAATAGGGGAAATATAGCAAATTCTTTAAAATCCTTCTTCTTCTGTAGGAATGAAAGGATTTGTTCAATATTTGGGCTGAAGTGTCTTTGAGTGAAGGGGAACCAATTTTGTATAAACCGTGGGTCTGGCCCCTCAGGGGCCTGAGGGGCGGGGCCCAATATGGGAAATATAGCAAATTATTAGGTCACCTGAGACAAAGTCTCAAGTGACCTATTGCGATCGCCTTTTGTCCGTCGTCGTCCGTCGTCCGTGATATAGTAGAATCAAATTCTCTTCATAGATTGAAGGGTCTTAAGGAGCTTTACCGAAATTGTGAATTTCTTGACCCTGGGGTCTCACGTTTACCCCTGGGGAGGGGGTAAACTTTACTATAGTTTATATAGGGAAATCACATTTTGGACCAACATTTGTTTAATTTGCATTGGAAAGAATTCAATTTGGGTTAGCATTATCAGTATTAGGTAGCAGTTTGATAATAAGCCCATACCAGCTCTGACTAACCCCCAGGGGCTGATTGGTGGGGCCAAAAAGGGACGAATTTACTGAAATTAAAAAAATCTTCTTCTCAAGATCCAGATATGGTAGAATCAAATACTCTTCATAGATGGAAGGGTCTTAAGGTTTATGACCCTAGGGTCTCACGTTTACCCCCTGGGGAAGGAGTGGGGGGGGGGCAAAATTTATTATGGTTTATAATGGCAAATGATACTTTGAATATTACATGTTAATAACTTGATTGGAATTATAACCTTGAGTTGACAGTTTGATACTTTAAAATTTTTGAGCTAGCCCTACCCCCAAGGGCGGTAGGGTGGGGCTCAAGGGAGTCAGTGTGCTAAAATTTCTTCATTTTCCTTGTTTAGAATCAGAGGTGCTAGTTTCAAATCCTTTTTAGTCTGAAATCTGAATGCTTGATATTGAATAAGGTGGTTTTATTGTTTTTTGTCACTTTGAATAATATTTCTGTTCATGTTAAAAACGAAATCAACTCTCTGTATAAATATAGCAGGTGACCGTTAAGGCCCATGGGCCTCTTGTTCTTTTAAATCCTTCTTCTATAGGAATGAAAGGATTTGATCCATATTTGCATGGTGTGGAACATCCTTGGGTAAAGGGAAACCAATTTTGTGTAAACAGTGGGTGTGGCCTTCCTGGGACCTGAGGGGTGGGGCCCAATAGCGGAAATAGAGGTAAAACCTTTATAATCCTACTTCTACCATAGGGATTAAGGGATTTTATCCTTATTCAGTCTAGAGCATCATTGGGCAAAAGGGACTCAATTTCGTATAAACAGCGAGTGTGGCCTCCCTGGGGGCAGAAGGGAGGGGGCCAATAGGGGAAATAGAGATAAAGCTTCAAAATCTGTTTTCTTCTGTAGGAATGACAGGCTTTTGTCCAAATTTGGTATGAAGAATCATTGGGCCAAGGGGACTCAATTTTGTATAAGCAGTGGATGTGGTGAACTTCCAGGGGGCAGAAGGGCGGGGCCCAATAGGAGAAATAGAGGTAAAACCTTTAAAATCCTTCTTTGACCTTCAGGATTAAGTGATTTTATCGTTATTTAGTCTGGAGCATCCTTGGGCCAAGGGGTCTCAATTTTGTATAATTGATGGGTATGACCCCCTAGGGGAATAGGGGTGGGGCTCTGTTTCAAGTTTGTTCTCGCTATATATCTCAAGTACTAGATGGATCTTTCTGAAATTTCATATGACAGCATCTACCATGGAGTACTATATCTTTACTTCATACCAATTATTTTAAACATATTCAGGTGAGCGATACCGGCCCTCTGGGCCTCTTGTTTACGTAAAAGGATATACTCCCTTTAAAAGGTCTGAAACGCTAAATAATTTCACGGGGCACAATTACATACTGTTCTGCCACTACACTTCTGTTTTAAAGAACTCTATTGAAAAATTAGCAAATTCATAAATGGACAAAGTTTGTCTGTGGACCGACGGACAAGTTGATTCCAATACAACCCAGGGGGGTATAAAGAAAGAAATGTCCCCTCTGGGGGAAGAGGGGCAGGGCCAAATAGGGAAATTTTAGGCAAATATTTAAGATCCTTCTCCTTGAGTATCGCTGATGGGATTTTTAGGTCACCTAAGACAAAGTCTCAAATGACCTATTGCGATAGCCTTTTGTCCGTCGTCGTCTGTCGTGCGTCCGTAAACAATTTACATTTTCAACTTCTTCTCCAAAACCCCTGCACCAATTTCAATGAAATTTTGCAGGGACCTTCCATGGACAAAGGTCAACAAAAATAGTGGCCGGTTTAGTCCCAAGCCCCCAGGGGCCTGAGGGGCGGGGCCAAAAAGGGTCAAATTGACTAAAATTTCAAAAATCTTCTTCTCAAGACCCAGATGTGGTAGAATCAAATACTCTTCATAGATGGAAGGGTCTTAAGGTTTATGACCCTAGGGTCTCACGTTTATCCCCTGGGGAAGGAGGGGGGGGGCAAAATTTATTATGGTGTATAATGGCAAATGATACTTTGAATATTACATGTTAATAACTTGATTGGAATTATTATAACCTTGAGTTTCTTCATTTTCCTTGTTTAGAATCAGAGGTGCTAGTTTCAAATACTTTTAAGTCTGAAATCTGTATGCTAGATATTGAATAAGGTGGTTATTAAGTTTTTTGTCACTGGAAGCTGAAACTTTCTAGAGCATCCTTGAGCCAAGGAGCATCATTGTACAAGGGGAGGGTGTGGCTATGCTGGGGACATAGGGACGGGGCCTTATTGGGGATTATAGGTAAATCCTATTTCTTGATAATGGATAATTCGTATAAAGTAAAACAATTGACCTGAAAGATCCTTAGGTCCTAATATTAAGAGTTTGTTGAAGGGAAAAGGTAATTATAATGAGGCATTTAGTAAATTAACTTAGAAAAATAACCATTACCATAATCAAGGGCACAGAGGTCAAATATGTTTAAAACCTTTATACGAATTCTTAATAACACAAAGGGTGCTGATATTCAAGTTCAGAGTGGTCAGTTGTCTTAAAAACTTTCAATCAACTTCTCAACAACCGAGAAACCAAAATGGCATCAGATCGGCGCTATCGCAAGGAGGCTAATACACCAACCTACACACATGAATGAATAGGACTTGAACCCAATAACACTAAATTAAACCTAACAGAAATGCTGGCATTAATTTTGATTAGAAATTGACAACTACTGTATTATGTAATAGAAGTCATTCTATATGCTTAATGTTATCATATTCATGTTAGAGAACTTGATACAAGTTACAGTTGATTCACTACTTTTAGATGCATCTTATTTTGACAATAACCACAGAGATATTGTACTTCATCCTATATGCATTTCTGGTACCTGTGAAATATCATTGAGGCAGTTCAGAATACAATTTTGTCAGTATAAAATAGTTAATACATTGTTGCTTGTACTGACAGGGGCAACAGAAATGCTTTTAAGGGTCATACCCAGTCAAGTGCAATGCATGGCTCCAGAATTCATTTAATTTTGTATAAACATTTATATTTCGTTATAGAGTAGTACATTTTATATCTTAAGGAAAATTGGAAGATGTCGAAATCATTAATTTAACTAACAACACTTTGGTTTGAATCCTATTCAAAATCACAAGCGTCAAACATGTTAAAAACTTCAAACGACTGAAGATCTTCCCATGATTGGTGCCAAGATCACTCTAGGATCATATGTAAATGTTTCCTATGTTTGTCAATTCACTGACATACATAGCAAATATATGCTTTGCTTGTATATCTTCAGATGATTACAGCATAGTCAAAGAGGATACCAATGCTCTGAAGGAAGATGCCAAAACATTGAAGGAGAATGTCAGGGCCATGAAGGATGATGTCGGTACCATGAAGGAGGATGTTGGTAGACTAAAGGAGGATGTCGGTGCCATGAAGGAGGATGCTAGCTCAATGAAGGACACTCTGAACGCCCTGTCAAAAGAAATTAGTCACATCAAAGGTATGAAAGTTAGTCCGATCATATCGGCATTATTACACACTGGTAACAGAAATTAGTTTTTGTGATTTATTGATTGATTGATATCAAAGAAAAAAATGAAAATTGTAATTTATGTTGAATGATTGTTCACCCGTTCGGGATTTCGAAAATAGTGAAGTTACGACACTGACAAACTTTCTAGCTCACTTGTCTTAGGGCAAATGAGTTAATGCCGTGGTGCACCATCCATTGTCCATCTGTCTATTATTCACCGAAAGGCCTATGAGTGCAGAATGGCTAAATAGAATTTAATCTCATTTGGTGTGTAGCATTGCCAGGATCAGGGGAATCAATTTTGTTTAAACAAAAGTTGTCACCGAAGGGGATGACCAGTTTATCCCCCCCCCCCCCCCCCCCCCCGCATACAGGTAAATTGTGTAATGACAATGGAAATGCCATTGTCTGTACGTACATCTAGTTTAATTTTTCAATCCCCTTGGGTTTTTTGGGTTTTTTTGGGCGGGCAAAACACGTTTTTCATGTTAAAACCGTTAAAATTAGGCCATGGTACTGCCACTACACAAAAAGTTTCAAAACAATCTATTGAAAAATGAGCAAATACAAGGCGGACAAAGTTTTGTCAATTTCTTTAGGCAAATTGGCATAAATCTCTTAAAAAGGTCAGAAGCGAAAACCTGTTCAGGGGCACAACAACATATGATTCTACATCTACACAAAAACGTTTCTAAGAAATCTATTGAAAAATGAGCAAGACAAGTTTTGTAAAAAAAAATACGTAAACGGATATACTCCCTTAAAAAGGTCTAAAACACTAAATAATTTCAGGGGGCACAATTACATATTGTGCTGCCACTACACAAATTTTTTAAAGAAATCTATTTAAAAATTAGCAAATGCATAGACGGTCCAAAACAAAAGGTTTTGTAAGATTTTTTATCATTTGTTTTATTATGTAAAAGGGCATTAAACAAATTCAAAGAAAGCTATAGAAAAATGAGCGAATGCATAGCCGGACAAGTTTTGTCTACGGACCGACGGACAAGTTGATTCCAATATAACCCGGGGGGGGATATAAAGAAAGAAGTGTCCCCTCTGGGGACAGAGGGGCTGGGTAAAATATTTAAGATCCATCTCCTTGAGTAACGCTGAAGGGATTTTAATCTTAACTAGCCTTGAACATCCTTTGGCAAAGGGAATCAGTATGGTATAAATGATGGATGTGTCCCCGCCGCCCTCCTGTAGGCAGAAAGCAGGGCCTAATAAGGAATTTCAAGTAAATCTTTAAAGTCATACTTCTGGAATGTGAGAAAAGCAATGTTTTATCTAAATTGGCCTGGAGAATACTTTGGTCAATGGGATTCAACCCTGTGTAATGAATGGTATTGTCCCCTGGGAGCAGGGGGATGGGGCCAAAATTATGGAAATAAAGGAATATTTCAACAATAATACTCCGTTCTTATAAGTTTGGAATAGTGTCATTATTTGGTTTGAAGCATTCTTTGGGAAACTATTTAGCATTGAATAAAGAGGGAAATGCCGTATAGGGGTAGAGGGTTGGGGCCATTTGGGTAAATGTAGGTAAATACATCAAATGATTTTTAGCTCACCTGGCCCTTCAGGCCAAGTGAGCTTAAGGCATAGTGTGGCGTCCCTCATCCGGTGTCAACTTTTTACTTTAAACAACTTCTTTTGAATGACCAAGAGGCCTAGGATGATGTTATTTGACCAGTAGCATGCTGGGATGAAGGGCTACCAGGTTTGTTCAAATGAATGACTTTGAATCATATTCAATGTCACTGGGGTCAAATATGTTAAAAACATTTAAACAATTTCTTATGACTAACCGCGAGGCCTAGGATGCTTTAATTTGGCCAGTAACATGCTGGGATGAAGGGCTACCAAATTTGTTCAAGCAAATGAACTTGACTTATATTCAAGGTCACAGGGATCAAATATGTTTAAAACATTTAAACAACTTCTTATGAATAACCTAAAGGCCTATGGTGCTTTAGTTTAACCAGTAACATGCTGGGATGAAGGGCTTCCAAGTTTGTTCAAAGGAATGACCTTGACATATATTCAAGGTCACATGGGTCAAATATGTTTAAATGACTTCTTCTTAATAAGCAAAAGGCCAATGGTGATGATATTTAACCAAAAGGTCCAAGGTTATGATATTTTGCTTGAAGCATGCTGGGTTGGAAGACTATAAACTCTGTTCAATGTCCTTGTTCGATATTCAAGGTCACGGGCGTCATATGTTTAAATCTTTTAGTAGGTTCTTATGAATCAAACACTGATATTCTGCCTGTAGTTGTATTTTAGTCCACTTTTAAGATTTCAAGTGTGAGATTAATACCAGTTGAGCGATTCAGGCCGATTGGGCCTCTTGTCCCTGAGTGTGGGTAAAAGGATTTGAACCTCAAATTTTCTAGCAGGGCTCACCCTAAACCTAAAAAATCAGTAGCCAAAAAAGTAGCCATGTTTGAATTTCAGTAGCCAATTTTTTTTAAACAGTGGCCATACTTTCTCGGCCCCCAACCGTTACGGATAGGCCCTCCATAAAATCATGAAATATTTAATATTTTTTGAAGTGCAATACTATTCAATATGATGTTAAATTAAGGAGTACTCTGTTAAATTAAAGAAATTGTTATACATCATGTTTATAATTTAATCCATAATGTGATATTTTTTTAATCCTTTCAGATTACATTGCTGTAATTTTAAGAAAATATAATTTAAATTAAAATGCTGAAAATTTCCACCAGAACTTTTATTTTTATTTTTAGCTCACCTGGCCCGAAGGGCCAAGTGAGCTTATGGCATGGTGCGGCGTCCGGCGTCAACTTTTTACTTTAAACAACTTCTTCTCAGTAACCAAAAGGCCTAGGGTGATGATATTTGGCCAGAAGCATGCTTGAATGAAGGGCTACGAAGTTTGTTCAAATAAATGACCTTCATCAATTTTCAAGGTCACAGGGGTTAAATATGTTAAAATCTTTAAACAACTTCTTCTGAATAACCAAGAGGCCTAGGATGATGATATTTTGCCAGTAACATGCAGGGATGAAGGGCTGCCAGGATTTTTCAAATAAATGACCTTGAATTATATTCAAGGTCACAGGGGTCAAATATGTTAAAAACATTTAAACAATTTCTTCTGAATAACCAAGAGACTTAGGGTGATGATAGTTGGCCAGTAACATGCTGGGATAAAGGGCTACCAAGTTTGTTTAAATAAATGACTTTGACCCACTTTCATGGTCACAGGGGTCAAATATATTTAAAACCTTTAAACAACTTTTTCTGAATAACCGAGAGGCCTAGGGTGATGATATTTAGGCAGTAATATGCTGGGATGAAGGGCTACCAAGTTTGTTCAAATAAATGACCTTAACTTATATTCAAGGTCAGAGAGGGCAAATATGTTTTAAACATTTAAACAACTTCTTCTCAATAACCAATAGGCCTAGGGTGATGATATTTGGCAAGTAGCATGCTGGGATGAAGGGCTATAAAGTTTGTTCAAATGAATGACCTTCATCTTTTTTCAAGGTCACAGGGTCAAATATGTGCTTAACCTTTAAACAACTTCTTCTGAATAACCAAGAGGCCTAGGATAATGCCAGTAACATGCTGAGATGAAGGACTGAAAGTTGGTAGGAATGATCGCCTCATGGTCCTGACAAAGTGTTGTTATTTTTTGGGTCGATCAGAAATCCAATATGGCCACCACGGCCGCCATTTTGAAAACCTATTTCAAACTTAAAGTCAAGTTCTGCTGGACCGATTGAACTTAAAGTTTGTAGGAATGATCGACTCATGGTCCTGACAAAGTGTTGTTATTTTTCAGGTCGATCAGAAATCCAATATGGCCACCACAGCTGCCATTTTGGTAAACTATTTCAAACTTAAAGTAAAGATCTACTTGGCCGATTGAACTGAAACTTTGTAGGAATGATCGAATCATGGTCCTGACAAAGTGTTGTTATTTTTCGGGTCAATCAGAAATACAATTTGGCTGCCATGGCCGCTATTTTGCTACTAAGTTCTAATAGGCCGATCTCACTTAAAATTGGTCTAGGAATGATCAGCTCATGGTCCTGACAAAGTTAAGTTAACATTATACTATTTTTTACTCAAATTGGTACATATTTCAACAACAAAAATAAATACTATAGACTCAGGTGACCGTTAAGGCCCATGGGCCTCTTGTTAAAAACTTAGTAGTCAATTTAGTAGCCAATAAAAAATAAAAGTAGCCAATGGCTACTTTGGCTACCGACAGCATGAGCCCTGTCTAGAGCATCCTTGAGCCAAGGAGGCACATCATTGTACAAGGGGAGTGTGTGGCTATGCTGGGGACATAGGGAGGGGGCCTTATTGGGGATTATAGGTAAATCCTATTTCTTGATAATGGATAATTCATATAAAGTAAAACAATTTACCTGAAAGATCCTTAGGTCCTAATATTAAGAGTTTGTTGAAGGATGATATTTGGCCAGGTGCATGCAGGGATGAAGGAATACAAAGTTTGCTCAAATGAATGACCTTCATCCATATTCAAGGTCACAAGGGTCAGCTATCTAAAACAAAACATATAAACTACTTCTTCTGAATAGCTGAAGATGTGATGATATTTGACAACTAGTATGCTTGGATAAGGGTCGCAGGGGTCAAGTTTGTAAAAAACTTTCAACTTCTTCTTAATACCAATGGGCCTATGATTATGATATGCGGCTAGTTACATGCTCAGATAAAAAGAAACTATGAGCATTGTTCTTATGATTGATGCTCACACATATTAAGGTCACAGAGTCAAATGTATTGAAAATGTTGCACAACTTCAGAATAACCACAAAAGATAGGGTTGTGATATTTTGTCAGTAGCATGCTAAGATGAGGAGCTATCAATTTTTCTTATGTTAATAACTTCCAAGGTCACTAATGGCCAAATGCACACAAACCTTTAATGACCTCATCTCTATAAACAAAAGGTTTAGGGTGGTGATATTTGGCAAACTGCATGCTGTGATGAAATACTATAAATTTTGTTCAAATCAATGACCTTGTTAGACTTTCAAGGTCAAAGGGACAAATTAATTGTGCTTACATTTTAACAGGTTCTCTGGAATGGCTTGAGTCATAGATACTGATTGTCTGTCTTAGCTTTATTATAGTCCAGTTTTAAGGTTTCAAGTGTGAGATTAATACTAGTTGAATGATGCAGATCCAGTTGGGCTCTTGTTTCATAAATGTCAATAAAATGGCTTAAAGCGCCTGTTCGGGGATGTTATTACACAATAAATGGGTCTAAATGCGTTCTCTGGTCTTCCAAAAGTTATACCACGGCAATATGATGGTCGAGTTCTGCTTGCAATGTCCAGTTTTGACCACTGAAATCTTGTGGAAGCCCCGCGTAAATTTAGAACAGATCTATTTATATATGTTTCGTGGTTGTTTCGAAAGCAAGGCATTAAAGATATCAACAATAGCACGCCATCTCTCAGCCATGTCGGACTCATCTAGCAGACAAGACAGCAATACTGTATGTAAATAATTGTTTTAAGAGGTCATGTATGCTGCAAGAGTAGTATTCCTACCTTTATGCTGTTGTTATATGTAACTGTTTTGATGACAATGTCAATAAACGTGGAAATCAGTGCAAAATCGCCGTCCAATGCCGTGATGGGGCCCCATGAAGGGGTAATCTAAATCCCATCATCAATGTCATCGTTTCATTTGTTAAGTTGTATTTACTATTTTGAAGCAATCATAGCATATTGTTTTTGAAAACACAAAAAGTTTTTGCCTGGGAATTTCGGGAATACTCATTAAATAATTAAAATGGCCCAAAGACGTTCCTAGACTGAACTTGAAGCGAAGAGAAACTTTCAACTTCAAGTAAACAGGCATATTGACATTGTGTCATTGAACCTTTGATAAATAGGCCTATCGATTGATTATAGACGTGTTTATTACACACATCATTACTTGTTAGTTCCAGTTTTAATCTATTCTACCACGGACTTAGATCCGTGATTCTACATTTAGTGTGATATAAAGAAAGCAGAATGTTTGAATGTACACAAGTTATACATACTAATTAGGGCCCTGTATCAGAGATACGGGTGCCCTATAGTAATCACTGTCTGTCTGTCTGTCTGTCTGTCTGTCTGTCCACAAGTTTTGTTCCTGGCTGATAACTTTGGTATTTATTCAAAGGTCAAGGTCATTAGGTTCAAAGGTCAAGGTCAAATTTTGCATCTTTTCACTGATGAACATTTTGGTATGACACTTTGAAGCAATGTTGCTCAGAATTAAACAATGAGTCAACTAACAAAAGGTCAAGGTCACCGGGTCAGGGATCAAGGTTAAATTTTGTATCTTTTCACTGGTGAACATTTTGGTATGACACTTTGAAGCAATGTTGCTCAGAATTAAACAAGGCGTCAATTCACCAAAGGTCAAGGTCACTGGGTCAAAGGTGAAAGTTAAATTTGTTTATGACATTATGCAGCAATGTTGGTAAGAATTAAACAAGGAGTCAATTCACCAAAAGTCAAGGTCATTGGGTCAAAGGTCACAGTCAAATTTTGTATCTTTTCCCTGATGAACACTTTGTTATGACTTTATGAAGCAATGTTGGTCGGAATTTAACAAAGTGTCAACTGACCTAACGTCAAGGCACTCGGTCAAAGGTAAAGGTCACTCTGTCAAAGGTCAAGGTAAAGTTTAGTATTTTTTGCTGGTGAACATTTCATTATGACACTTGGAAGCAATGTTTGTGGGAATTAAACAAGGAGTCATTTGACCAAAGGGCAAGGTCCCTGGGTCAAAGGTCCAGGTCAAATTTTGTTTCTTTCACAAGCAAAGTTGGTCCGAATTTAAAAAGTAGTCAACTGACATAAGGTCAAGGTCATTTAATGTTATTATGTAGGAAACTTGTTCAGAACTTAACACAGAGTCAACTGTCAAGGTCCAGGTTACTGGTTCCAAAGGGTCAAGGTCAATTTTGTATTTTTCACTGATGAACATTTGTTATGATATTATGAAGCAAAGTTGGTCGGAATTAAAGAATAAGTCAACTGACCAAAGATCAGGGTCACTGGGTTAATGGTCAAGGTCATTTGGGTCCAAAGGTCAAAGACATGAATCCTAAAAGCAGAGTTGGTTGGAATCCACAAAGGAATTACATGGCCACCTTTAAATGTCACCAGGTCAAATTTCATAGTCACCTTTATAATCAAACTTGCTGCATACATGTATTTGTATACTTTCATCTTTTATCATTATAATGTACTATTACCAATAAAAGTTGCAATATTATAACTGGCATATTGGGCCCTCGATCCAGGGCCTCTCGTCCTAAATTACCTCACACCACGAGGATTATCGGCAAAGAACAAGTTAATAGTCTCTCTGTATACAACTCTCTGTTTTAGACAAATATTGTCAGTTAAAGTTTTTTTGTTGTGTCTACTGATCTTATGAAAGGAGCAGAGAAACTAAAATGCTTTCATTTTTTTTTTCAAATTTTTATTGTTCCTGATTTAATTTTACATTTGAAAGCTGCCAGGGTTTGGGCCTGGTATCAGCTTCCTTACAATAAATGTCCTCTCGCAGGAGGGTTCTCGTACACCATACTCTGAGTCTCAGACAATCATTAATTCATATATTCATTCATATTTTGTTTTTTACATGATATATTCATCCGTACGTGCCATCTCATTGCTGAAGTTCAATCACACATTCATCATTATATTCAAACAACCATTTGTTCATGTGTTATAATTATAAATGAGTAGCAAGGGAAGTCTTATTCAATATTGTCGGTCATCTCTCTTCATTTTAAAGTTTCCCCACTTACAAGCTTCAAGTATGGTAGTTTGGTGTAAAATGTAAACCTGTACATCAATTTTTTTTGCTTTTATCTGCCTTTTTGATGACGCGCATGCAGTAAAATAACATCACTGACTGTTCTGGTCAAGTGAGAGTTTTAGACTGTCAGATGACGATTTAGGATTTCGTTAAAATAATCATAATTTTTACTTCCAGGGAGTGAATGTCACCAAAATTTGTATTTTAAACATATATGCCATTTTCGCAAATATAGATTTTTTTCCCCGAGCAGGCACTTTAACGCATGTTTTCTGTTTCATCGATTATATTGATTTATTGTTTTATTCATTTCAGATCTTACTATTGCAATCATCATCCTGATTGTAGTCGTCATTGGTTTTGTACTGGGTTGGTTTGTAATACGCTGTAAAAAATATTGTGACTATCTGAAAAGGACACTTGGAAAAAATGAGGTCAGGTACGTTTCATCAAGATAGCCTTATTAATAACAGTACTGTGAGTAAAAATACAATTATATAATTAACTACGTATACAGCTGTATGTTCTTATGCTGCTGCTCAGTCAAGGTTATACGTTTGCTCAATCAATGGATTTTTCCTTCTTTTTTTTTTGCTTTCAGGACTTGATGCTAATATTTTCAAATTCTTACAGGAATTAACCTTAAAAACTACTTTCACACTGTATAACCTACTTTGGAGCTATTTATGTTATTGCATGACCACAAACATTTACACATCCCATAAATGCCAGATGAAAAAAAAACAATTCACTTTACTTAAATATTGATTCCAATACTTTCCCTTACATATCTAAAACTCCGGTTTATCATAACAACTTTGAATAGCTTGGTACATGCACTTTTTTCTTCTTAGATAATGCATTCACAACTTACTATGCATTGCAATGGTCTTAACCAACCAAATAATTCAAAATTAGTGAAAGGATTTTCTTTGCAAGTATGATATAATAATTTTGCAGTTTCTCTACTGATCCATATTCCAAGTATAGAAAAGAATCCACATGGAACGTTCATAATTCACACGCATGTATGCTCATATGAAATCGTTGGAAGCTATATTTATTTGGCTTTCCTCATGGATCATTGGTGTGATATTTCGGCAGATCCTCTGGTTTTATCTCATTATATGACAAAATGGGGGATTTTCTGTCCTCATCCATTACATGAAAAGAGTCTTAATATTTTGTATGTGCACAACAATCTTTTGAATCGTTACAGGGTTGCTGATCGGGAGTATTCAGAATTGCCAAAAGGAGAAAACAATCAAGACAATATATCCAACAAAGAAAATAGCCATCGTGTGGACAAAAGGCGTCTTACAAATGATGAGTAAGCAACCATAACTATTCTTTTGTAGCTAAATGACAATAAAAGAGGGATACGTAAAAACAGACACGGAATATTGATACAGAGTGCAGAAACTAGGGAGATTTTTGTTATCAATGAAAAAAGTTGATTCAATTAAAACTATTATAATTAACGTATTTGACATCAGAGGAGCTACCACTAGATATGATTTCTATATAAGGTCTTACATTTTGAAAAATTTATTTCACTCTTTTCGGGCAAAGCAAGTAATAAAATAATACATTTGTGTCAATTTCAAGCAGACAAGGGTGAATCACTGCATGTGACATTAATTGCAATAGACTTATAGTTTTTAGAAGTCCCTGCACTGGTACACTCGTCCTTAAGCTATTTTTGATTTGTAAAACATAATGTAATAATATCAAACTACATGTAATTTGATGAACTGTTTATTGAATTTTTTTACACATTGCTTAGACGGTGTACAAAGATAAATCAAACATAGACGGTGTAAAAAGATAAATCGAACATCCATCATTTAAAAATAGTTGAGCGACATTTATCGACGCACAAAGATAGATTCCGATAAATTTCAAATCTGCCATAAATATTTGATAGACATTTATTTGCTTTTATACTAAGATGACCGACAGCAATTTACTTTTGCTTTGCAACATTTTGAAAGGATATATATTTACTTCGGAAACTATGATAACCAATGTCAACATTTTGTACGTGCAAAGAGATCTCAAACATCTGATATTTTATATTTTGTATCTTTTCAGACTACCTCCTACAGAATCAGATTGTATACCGAAGACATATAATACTACAGAATCAGATTGTATACCGAAGACAAATAATACTTATGATGTGTCTGTAAAGCTTGAAATGTCGAATATTGCTCTCGGTTCCACTGTTAATGGTGACATTGTCGGGAATGGGAACTGTTAACAAGGGAAACTGTTTGTGTTTTATTATTAGTTAAAACTGGAACATTGGGGAGTGTGATGTAGTTGTTAGTGGTGCGACACCTTAAAAGTTAGTTGATACATAATGTGTTGTTACCTGAGTTTACCGTCGTTCGCGACTGCAAATCATTTCAATTATTAGAGCTATTGTTAACGGGTAATCACAGATATAGTGTTAGCTAATTACTGCATTGTAATTTGTATTGATTGTAGTGTTGAGAAGTGTCAATAATTTATGCTGAAGCATGCAATCCTACCTGGCCTATTGTCCAGGACCAGATGATGTGGGTTAAGTTATGCCCTCCGGTTAACTTTCCTATTAATGTCGCCAAACGAGCAGTCATGACCACAGATGACCGATTTTAATAACTTTTCAGTAGGTAAAAATTGTGTGGCCAAAACATATCGCCAATCTGAACTGTGACATGACCTGGTTTGAAGTGATGATACCCAAGCCGCCATAATGAGCCCTTTTCACTGATCCTGTGTATGTACAAATGTATAAATAATCTAGTTCCAGGATATCTTTCTAATCAATTTGATTTGTCTAACAACAGATAAACTAGATCAGCATCCCAAAACTCTGTCAACGTACCCAAACACCGTACCACATTTTATTCCAAACACTTTTTGGTACAAGGGAGCCAGATTTGGAATGATTTACCGGTTGAAGTACGACTCTCTTCCTCCTTGACAAAATTCAAACTAAATATGATTGGTAACATTAAGAATGCGGTTTAATTGTCTTTTATTTTTACTATTATACTTTTTAGATACAGCTTTGATTTGTTTTATTTTCGCTATATTAGCGTGTATTCTGTCAATTTTTAGCTTTTGCTACATTAGCATATATGTAAATTATGAAATAACTGTAATATGAATTGCTGTTTTAGTAGACCAACAATTATTTTATGTGCATTTATTTGATGTGATACTACTTTGTCTTTTAACTAACCAATTTTACTAACAGAGGACCCTGTGGAAGATTAGCTTTGCTAAACAGGTTTTGTATCCTCAATAAATAAAGTTTATTATTATTATTATTATTACAAGCTAACCGGTAATAAGATTTATATATATATTTAAATGCCGCCGTGCCTATTCTCCATAATCATGTTTATTGAAGATTTAATAGAAACTGTGGTAAGGTATACATGTAGCAAACACTTGTGAAAGCAAGTGTTTTTTTTTATAAAAGCACTGGACAAAGTCTTGAGTGTAATCAGCCCAACAGAATTCAAAATATAAGTAGTGCATTTTATAAACCGATTTTCTATTCATATAGTAACAGTGATAGAGACCTAGCCCCCGGGCCTGGAAAGTTATCCCAAGCAGGCACTTTCTTTGAGGAAGCACTCTATAAAGTCAAGAGTGTAATCAGCCCAAGGGAATCAAGATATTTTGTGCATTAGTGCATTAAAAGGATTTTCTATTTATAGTGACCCATTGACCTTTGACCACTGAACCTGAAAAGTTATCCCAAGCAGACACTTTCTTCCAAAAACTGAGTGTAATCAGTCCAACAGAATTCGAAATACAGTGCACAAACTGATATTCTATTTATAGTAAGTGACCTTGATCTTTGATATCAAAGGCTGAAAGGCTATCCAAAAGCTTAAGCAAACATTTTATTACACTGGATAACGTCCATGTATGCACACACACAAGGTTCTACACTTAAAGTTGATAAGTTGACTTTAATATTCATATGGTTTTTTTCTGTATGTTATTACCAACTGCATAACATATTGGATGAAGTTGCTAAGTGTTTAAATTGAATCAGCTGATGATTTTCTATATGAAACAAGTTTGACCTTGACCTTGGATCCCCTGAAATACAACGATTTATGAAGTATACTCATACTTGACATTTGTATAAAGTTTGACCAAAAACTGTCAAAGAATGAAGTTGCTAAGTGTTTAAATTGAATCGAGACGGGACGCGACGGGACGGGATGATTTTCTATATATAGCAAATGTGACCTTGGCCTTGACCTTGTATCCCTGAAATACAAAGATGTTCGAAGTATACGAAGCGACGGGACGCTGCACCAGGGCAAAAGCTCAGTTGTCCTTGGCAGGTGAGCTAAAAACAGATAGAAGGACAGACAGACGTGAAATCTGATTACTAAAGATGTGCAGGGGTCCTAACAACAAATTGTGTAATTGAATGGAGAATCCCCCTTTGGGACCCCACTCCTCCCCCTAGTAACCAAGTAGGGCTCCAGACCATTGGTTTGAAAACATCATCAAGCCATACAGAAGGACTTAAAAGGATGTACTGTATCAGGTGATTTATGCCCTCGCAACAGCCAGGGTCATATGAGGACAGGTGTCACCTATAGGAGAAAACTGCAATTGGAAGGAAGTGCATGTGTTGACGGAAAAAATACAGTTACTTATAAGAATTTCCTATGTGCAAAGGGCTATAACTCCAGGAAAAATAGAACATGGACACTGGATTCTAACTCAAACTGTAATCGATTATACATGTATACTAAGTTGCAAATAATATGGAAAACAGTTAATTATGATAATTTCCTATGTGCAAAAGGGCCAAAACTCCAGTCAAAAATGTAATTTTAATACATGGTTCAAACTCTATAATCTATTATGATAAAGCCACAAAGTTTCGAATTGATATGGCAAGCGGTAGCGAAATAAGTCCAAAACAAAGTTTATTTTGATAATTTCTTATGTGCGAAGGGCCATAACTCCAGCAAAAAAAGGAATATTAACACATGGTTTGAACTCAGACTGTAATCCATTATGACAAAGCCACATATTAGGTAACAAATTGATGTTGAAAGTGGTAGCGAAAAAAAGTCTGGGAAAACCTTAATTATGAGATTTCTTATGTGCAAAGGGCCATAACTCCAGCAACAAATGAAATATTGACACCGGGTTTGGACTCTAACTGTAACCCATTATGATAAAGCCACATACTAAGTGGCAAGCTGTAATGAACAAAGTATGGCAAACAGTTAATTATGAGAACAATTCCAATGTGTGAAGGGTCATACATGTAACTTCAGCAAAAAAATAAAATATTGGCACATGGTTCGAACTTGATCTGTAATCTATTATGATTAAGCCACATACAAAGTTACAAATTGATATGGTAAATGGTGGCGAAAAAAAGTCTGGAAAACTTAAATGTGACTGCCGCCGTCAACGACAACGTGTGATGACGGACAGACAGATCCTTAAGTGTTCGCCATGCTTTTCAGGTGACAGATACGTCAATTCAAAATCTATCTGTACACCAAATTCAAGAAGAATTACACATTATTATATGTTTCGCATGTCTGAAACTGTCTGACATTGTCAGTATGGTAAGTTATAAGCAAAACTTCAAAACTATCTAAAATTTCTGGATATTTTTTTTCCAAAATCAACGGAAAGAAAATCTACATTTTAAAGAAAGTGGTAGCTATAGGTGCACCCTATATATGTAATAAACATACAAATATTGGTACCTTAAATTGCAAAACAACAAGCAAATTTCGCAAAACCACCAATTCTCAAAAATCACCTAAACATGACATATTTTATCTAAAAGGAAACTGGGAACTTATAGAAGTAACAAATTATATCCGATATATAACAGAAAGGAATGCGAGGAAATCATGTGAGAGACACAACTCACAGAAATATTATCCAAATCATTACTGCACAAATACTTAAAAGTACATAGCAAGTGTTCCTAGTTTAAAACAGAGAGTATGAGTATTACTTGAAACAAATTTTAAATTATATAAGAAATAATTCTGAGGGACACCATCTAAATGAAAATTGATTGATTGATATAACAGTCGAGATGCATTAAAAATCCTCCCCACACGGAAAGTAAAACAAACATTACAGCAAAATGTTCAAACCTGGCCTGCATGGTGTAAAGTTTCACCTTTTGACCTTTATAACTTTCAGCTTTCTTGGCGAATTTTGTGCATTTTTAGGTCACCTGAGCTTTGCTCAAGTGACCTATTCCAATCGCTTTTCGTCCGTCGTCGTCCGTCGTGCGTCGTGCATAAACTTTTACATTTTCAACTTCTTCTCAAGAACCAGTGGATGGATTTTTTTCAAACTTGGTCAGAATCATCCTTGGTAGATGAGGCTTCAAAATTGTAAAATTGGGATTCCTACCCCAACCCCTGGGGCCAGGGCGGGGCCCCAAAGGGAAAATTAATCAATATTTCAAAAATCTTCTTCTCCAGACTCAGAGGTACTACAGTGATTTTCTCTACGTGGAAAGAAAGATCATCAGGGGCTTTACTTAAATTGTAAATTTCAGGACCCCC